AGAGAGAACAGAGAGCCATGGTAATGGATTAATCAGCATCAGACTTCATTGAATTTGTGTATTTTGCCAACCCTAATGTCTGAGCTCACACCGTCACACATATTGTATGTGGCCAATTATTTTTAACATTCACACTCGCACATGCAGCTAAATTGTGCCATTAAAGTAGCGGCAACAGGCTGAGGTGGACAAAACACATTTGAGTAGATCACACTTTGTATAGAACAAAGACCATGACTATAAAACATGACTACACAATGGGTTTCCATTTATTCTTTAACTGTTCACTGTTTCGGCCCTGGATCTGAAATTAGGGCTAGGGAGCGAGGTTGAGAGACATTGTTTGTGGGAAAGCAGAAACTATGAGCTAAAAGATGTTAAAATACACTCAGACAGGCTCTCAGAGAGCACTAACTAAACCAGTTTAAATCCATTTGATCCAGATTTTGATTTGGATATGCACCAAATTCCACACTCTCATTAATCAGTCTCTTAAACATTTTTTTTCATCAAGATCCATGAATTATGAGAACTAAAATGTTGACAATCTCTAAAGAAAGTGAAAACGATCCCTGGTCCAGATCTGCATCAATGGTGGAATGTATCCAATTGGTTCTTCAATGGGTCATCCCTCACTCTTCCACAGAACTTTATGTAAAATGGTTGTGGAGGCTACTCAACAGTTTACCTGTAACTAACTAATACTAATACTGCTAACTGACATAAAGCAGACATAAGCATAACCTCCTTGGTTGAGTCAGTGATAATTTGCCATCAGTCAAAAGGTGGCAAGTTCATTTAATTCAGACTGTGAGTATGAAGCTTCTTATTCAGTGTGTGTTGAGTCAGCAAAGACTGAGCCAATAATCTTATCATGTAGACTTTTAACTTTTCAGAGAGAGTGGGAGAGATCTTGTATTAAAAGATAAAAACTGTCACAACTTGTAAAACCAATGCTGTGTTGCACGGTTCTGCCTCACTGCTGTTCATTGTGGCCCGATTGGCCCCCATCCGACCGACCCAGCCCACGTTCTCTCCCACTCTACCAGATCACTCCCATCTCTCCCACTGCTGGACACTTTATAGTCAGCCATAAACAATAAGCAGAGAGCCTGTCACTGTGCCCACCAATGCAGCAGCCGCCATCTCCGGGGGTCATCTAATTAATGCAGGGGATTATTGCTGGGTCCCTGGGCCGAGGCTGGGCCCGCTGTCTCTGAATAGGGTCATTATGGGAGGTAATGAACAGGGTGAGCAATGAGTTTTGGGCTGACTTGGCAAGGGGTTGCGTAAATGTCAAAGCCACAATGTAATCATCTCTTTGTTTGAAGTACCGGGGATGCACTTTATTTGTTTGTGTGCAGCTAGTAGTGTGGAAACTGTACTGATGGGTCATGAATGGTTTCATCTGCATGGGTGAGGCAGGATTGGTTGCTGGTAAAATCCCCATTTTGACGATGCTAAAGAGTCACTGTTGCCACTGTGACTGCTGTGGGTCAGAGAGTCTGTCTAGGAATTTCTCATTGTGAGATTGACACAAAACATATCTTTAACACATGTTGAAAAACATTTTCATCATTTTTTGTAAGGGACTTTAAAAAGCCAATTATAATTTGAAATGTACCGGAATTTTTGACATTGCAAATGCAGACAAATTTAAAAAATGTTCCCAGTGAGCTCCAGGGAAAGATGTTTTTATGGACAAGTGGAGTAGAACTGTAGTAGAACAGCAGGGTACTATTTCAACTATATAATGTATATCAATGCCAACCATGTGTATCATGACTGTTCACTGTGTATAGTTTTGCACCTTTAAAAAAAGTCCAAAACATAAAACACCGTAAAAACAAAATTGACAAAAGGTAACAGCTACACAATTTTTTATTATTAATAGTATTATCATTATTACTAGTGTTTCCTTCATGAAGTGGGACTGCTTCTTTTGTGGAACTGCTACTTTTTTATGCAAGGCAGATTGGGAGTCACACCACCACACAGACCTAGGTTCAGGCCCTGGTCTGTGTTGCCTCCATCAAGCACAACTGGAATATTCGCTAGTGGGAAGCAAGTGAAGGATCATGTTCTTGTCATAGCGCTGGTGACTCCTGCTGGTTGGTCAGGGACCTCTGCACATGTATTATGCCCTACTTGATACTCCTTGCGGGTAGGTGAAATGAAGCAGATGGTGACTCATTGTGTATTGAAGGCAGCACATGTCTGTCTACAGTCTCTAAAAGGAGAGAGAGACAGCAGTAAAGATTGTAGAGCAGAGGAAATGGCGATTACAGAATGGGAGAGAAAGGAACAATGCTATAATGAAAGCATTTAAAAAAAAAAAAAAGACATATTTTGTAGTGCTTCCTAATTATTGCTGCTCTCAGAATTGCACTGAACTGTATGTGAGGATGCAAATGTCACTTGCTGTGGATATTCTCTGGAGTTTGTCCTGCCGTCCCCCCCCCCCAGTAAAAACCTGGGATAGTGTCCAATTAAATCCATGTAAGAATACAGCAGGAGATTATCCAAATGATTCACAACTAAGTGCAAAGTACAAAAAGAATACAAAAACTCAGGATGAAAAACGTGTCATACTCGTAGAGGTCACAGACGAAAATGTCAACTCTGTAAAACATCGAGATTCACAGAGTTTTTGGTGATACTGGCCATCGTTGGTGTCCATGCGCTGTAAATAAAAACCTGTGATCTCCACAGTGGACATAATACATCATGTCCTGCCTGCATGCTACGCCAACCCTCGCCTCAATGCTCGGAAGAGGCTTCATGTCGTCTGCTGCGTTCTTCATATTTGAAAAACAAACCCCAGGCCCCAATTGTGTGGACATTGTGCGGATGAGTGATTGAACCCTCTATATCGCACCAGCCCTACTTCATGTCATGCCTGGCCAGGTGTGAGGATGTGTGCACATCCAAACAGCAGAACATTTGCATCACATTAATCCGCTGACTGTCTGAAAGTTTGCAACCAAATCCTCATTTGTAAGATTCATTGCCTCAGGAATTTGAAGCCACATGCAAGACACTTGATTCTTGGAGGGAGTTCAGGGAGGCAGCGTTGTGTGGCCAGAAGGATGATGGCAGTATTTTTTCCTTCCACCTTTGGTTGGTTGCCAGCGTTGAAATTATTAACAGTTGTGCAGTCTGGTTGAGCTTATAATAGTCAAGCACTCAAAAAGAAGCAGACTACAAAACACTGCGAAAGGTTTTTTAACCGTAAATTTTCATCCAAAAACAATTTACATCTCCCCGACCACACATGACCCATATTATTGTACATTACTGAGTTGGAAGGATCGTCAGAATAATTATTTGAAATTAATCTTTTCCGAAAAGACACAACTGTGCAACCAGATGTGAGGTTTATTCAAAAACAAGTGCATTAAATCTGAGCTCTGCATGCTTTACCATTAACACATGGTATGTCACCATATTTGCATAGTAAAAAATGTCCAATTATGTGACGACTGCATTAAGAAATCGATAGCATGACGCTATGAATCACTTGGTTTGGAGGTCAAAAGGCCGCGATGACATGAGACATGTTGTTGAACACGTCTGAGTCTTCCTCTGTTATTGTGAATGTGTGGTTGGCAGCAGCCATGTGACTCCTGAAAGTTATATGACTGGTGTTTTGGGGCGCTGTCCAAGGCGCTCCGGGGTCTCTGCTGAAAACTGCAATGCACAAAATCGGCATCAGACAGAGAAAAACACAGCAGCGCCAGGAGAGATGTATATATTTCCTGCTCAGTGCAGTTAAGCTTAACTAAAGCACACCCCCATAAAGAATCATCCATTTTTATCTCCGGTCGTCCTCCTCTTGAATGAGCAACGTGGGTTTAGAAAGAAAACCTAGTGCGTTAGCCTCACTTTGAGTCCTCGAATCAACACATGCTCATTAAACCCAAGTGTTTCTCAGAACTCCTCCATTCATTCTAATCACAGTTGTGCTTTTTTCCTCCCCTCCTACATATGTTCAAGTTCCTCCTGAACAACCCCACAGTGTTTCCGGACAAGCTTGGAGATGTAAAACCATCCAGCACGTCCTGCTTGTACCCTGACTTCAGGGGATCATGGGTGGAACACCTTTTTTCCTTGACATAATCCTCTCTGTTACAAATTACGCCCAAAGACATACATGATCATTTTTTGTCCTTTTTAAAGAGAGCCCTGGGAACATCAGCACATAGATGCAACACAACACGGAGTCAATGATTCAAGCCAATTCAACACAGACTTAATTCAATTATTAAAGTGGCTGCTTTGAGAAATAACAGAAGCTTCTCTGGATCCTGTGAATTTGAGCTGAGGAGTCTGTAGCGTGCCTGGAGTCATTAATTGTTTCCTCTATTAAAAGCACACTCAATAGTCTGCACTATAAAGAGAATAGCAATTTGCTGCCTTGACATTGTGATGTCACTGAGAGGAAGAATGTTCCCAAGCTTGCTTTTCAAATTTTTCAAGAGCTACAGATCCTTTATTGTATTGATTGAGATTTATTTCTGTATTCTGTCACGGTTATGGAGTTTTTGTCACTGGTATTGTATTCTGTCACGTTATGGTGTTTTCTGTCACTGGTATTGTTTTCTGTCACAGGTTATGGTATTTTGTCATGGTTATCGTATTTTGTCCTCTTTTAGAAAGAGCGTTTTCAGTTCTAGTTCAAATTGCATTTTTGTTATGTTTGGAAATTCATGTTTTAAGTTTGTTCTATGTCCCCTCTGTGTCCTTCGCTCATGTTCCCTTCTGCTCTCCTCTGTGCTGCATCCTGTGTTGTTCTCTGTGTCCCTCTCCTGTGTTCCCCTGTATTCATGTTTTAAGTTTGTTCAGTGTTTCCTGTTTTATTTTGTAGTCCCTGCTCCCGGTGTGTTTTCCCCCTTTGACTTCCTGCCCTCATCAGGTTCACCTGTTTGTCTTGTGCCACCTGTCCCCAGTTACTCATTAGTTCAAGTGTGTATTTAAGTCTTTGTGTTCCCCCATGTGATTGTTGGTACGTTGTCGATTCTGGTCAGGTCCTGTTCGTCATCTGATACCTTACCGTCACCTCTCGCCACGTTTCCCTGTAAGTAGTTTCCTGTCCTTACTTGTTCCACTCCTGTTTTTGAGTGCGACTTTTGTTTATTGTAGATTTCTCTTGTTACTTTTATCTTTTTAAATAAAAGACACTTTTTGTTAATCCATATTTAGTTCTGTGTCTTGGTCCTTCCCTTTCCCTTTTACCTACCACGTTCGTTCCCTCCCCACATCTCCAAACCTGACATATTTGCATGCATGTTGTGTAGTTGTGTGTTTTGTAATGATACAAAGAAGATGGGGGGGGGGAACAACTGAGTGACACTTTTCCACTGCACACATTTCAAAAGTAAGCTCTGACTTATAGTGAACTTCTATATGCATCTCTTAACACCACTTCTTGGGTTATACCGACATATTTATAATTTGACGTTGATACATTTTAAAGTATTTGCATGCGTTTTCTTTGCTCTGCACATTTTGTTAACAGCGTGCATGTTTTGAGGGAACTTAAAAACTGAGGAAATGGAACCTTCTGTGGAGCACGTGGCCGCACAGTGATTTCCTTTATCTTCTTTTACTTCCTCTAAGAACCCATTCCGTGTTTCTCCATATCTCTAACTGTTTTTGTAGTCATAGCTGAAGATTGTGTCCTAGGTGGAAGAACATGTCAGGGCAACTCGACCGTGCTCTTATGATGATTTAATTTTGCCTACTTGCATTTTAATAATGGAAGCCATTGTGTTGATGCGGTGGAAGTCGCTCAGCTCCCTATTCGAGAATGCACAGTAAAAGTGCAGCTGATGCTTACTGCTGTTGATGGGGAGCTGTTGTACAGTATTGTGTGTGTGTGTCATTGTGTCAGAACCCCCCCTCCCCCCTCCTCTCCTAGCCTGCTGGGAGGGAGTGGATCTCATAAAATGCAGATTGCCAGATTGGCGATGACTGTCTTACTGGTGAGATGAGATGGCACATTATGTAAATGCTCCCCCCTATTTCACTCGCTGGTGTGTCACACGGGACAGATGTGAGTAATGTTAACAACATCTGCAGATTCCAGGCACTGGACGGCTGACAAGACGGAGTGACACATTCAAGATTTCATATTTACCGGAGAGGAATGAGTTTCCTTCTCCTGCATCACTGGACTTTGATGGTATTGTGTGTGTGTGTGTGTGCAATCATGGTATTACTTGTGTTGTTGGGACCTAAAATCTGTTCACACACACTTGTTGTCCTTATGGGGACAAAAACAAGATGTTTTAAGATATGTGAAGACACGTTTTAAGATTAGTTAAAGGTGAGTGGAATGATTGGGGTTAGGTCATCTTTATGATTAGAGTAAGACTGAAGAATGTAAGTAACTGATTTGTCTCGGATCAGTGAGTCCACTCATTCAACTCACATATAGGATTTTGGACGCAGAGTATTGTCAGTGAAGTAGTGCATGGATTTTGCCAGGTTCTATTGTCCCAGATGAAATAAGGCAAAGACGGATACAACTTTCAAAATCTGCTAGCTGCTTTGTTCACTTGATCTCAAAACATGTTAGATTTCACTATATTTACTTTCTTGTGTTCTCCTGTTTCATGTAATGTGGAAATGTTACATGAAAATTTGTATGTATGTGGAAATGTGTGTTTTGTGTATTGTCTATCTAAAAACTCCTCTCCTGTTTTGTGTATTGTTGTCTATCTAAAAACTGCTCTCCTGTTTTGTGTATTGTGTTTTGTGTATCTAAAAACTGCTCCCCTGTTTTGTGTATTGTTGTGTTTTGTGTATCTAAAAACTACACATTTTCCACATTCTTCCACCAAGTTTGGTAAAAATCGATTTGTAGTTTTTGTTAACAGACCGTAATGTTTCTCTAACACACAACCCAGCAACTTCTGAGATAACTTCACTGTCTGTGTAGCCAAGTCAAGATAGTAGAGTTGAAGATGAACATCTGTCAACATCTGTGGTGTAGACTTTTATCTTTCAATCATCCCGCTGTGACACGTACCCGAGCCCTTCACACACATCATTTCACAGCTATGTCAAACAACCACAAATGCTTCTTATATTACTTTTCAGGTTTAAAACTGTATTTCCACAACACTGCACTACAGTGAGGTACCCACAGTGGAAGCCCTGTATTTCCTTGATGTGGTGCCTCACTCGCAAATGTAACACAAAGGTCTCCTTGAGAGATGTTTGTACTCCCCTTATCATTTACATAAAATGTGCCACCACTTTTAAAAGGTTTACAACTAAGGTCACAGTAGCCATAAGACATTTGGACGAGGTTTTATTCACAGATGCACATCTGTGTCTCATTGGCCAGTGGATAAAACCAAACAGAAGTGTAGTCCAGCTGCAATGTATCACAGGCATTTTAAAACAGGCCTAAACATATAAGATACTGCTTCATGTGTTATTGGCACCAAATAGACATTTGAGGATTTGATGTGAAGTTCATGGCATTGTCTAAAGTTGTCCATCACCAAATTTACAGTGCTAGTGCATTGCCCATTCTAGGAGCTGTTCACATGTTTATTCAAAAGCTTGACTCTTTACTGGAGAATCGGCTGCTGTTGCCATTGTCGTGAACAAATAAATCAAACAACCGAGCGACCAACAAACGAACAGTGGTGAAAATATATATCTTTGGCGGAGGTAAAAATCCATTATATTTCCCGCTATGACCAGTGGCGACTGCCCACTGCATGATCACACATGAAGGTGATCTGCAGCACTGGCCTGAGCTGAGCAACTCCATTTAAGCCTTTACTGGTGCAGAAAATTATTTTAAAGAGGTCTTGCTTCAGGGCATTGTGTATGTGAGTGCATGTACCCTAATGTGTGTGAATACATGTGGTATTTACTCATCGTATTTATTGACTTTCACGTCACAATGCAATTTTTAGTTTTTTCTAAATGTATTAGCGGGCCCTAAAGCCCCGTACATTATTACAGCGCTGACAACTGACAACATTGCTACTTTTCAACAGTTTTACCATACAGGCTGGAAAAGTAGGCCCTGAGGAAAGTGCTTCAAGAAAGCTTCCAAAACAGCAGCTAAACACGACCACGATAAATATGTTATGTTCAGCTGTTGTGTCAGAGGAAAAAAAATCAAATTCAGTTTTGACTGCCACAACTGCTTGAGCCTGCTTGCGGATTCTTTTGATGCAAATCTGTACTGCAGGCCAAAGGAACTGATGTACTAACAGATATCAAGAGTGACAATGTATATGTTAAACAGCTCCAATATTTCCCAGACAATATTGCTGCTGTCAACACGGCCCTATTTACACCTGCTGTTGGATTCCACCTGTATCTGCTTATCTTGCAAGTTGATACACAGCACAAGTGCAAAGTTACTCTTGGCAGAATCAGTGGAGTCTGTATATCTGTTTGTTCAACAAGCCAGTGTCTACAAGTTGAATTCTGAAATACATGCAGGAGAAATATCACAGTATGGAGGGATGGTACTTTTGTTCAGATACACTGCATTTATCTAATTGCATAAATATGTTGTATCTTGAGCATTGTTGGACATGTGAAACAAACAACACAATAAGATTTCACATTGTTGTTGGATTACACTATGAACGTAACAGACACATGTGGCTCAGTTAGAGAAACTTTTTAAAAAAACTGTTGAGGTTGAGGTGAGGAGGGAGCTCCTCAAGCCCAAGACGACTCCCTCTTGGAAATACCTGATATGCAAGCAGGGTCACAGGGGATTTTCAAGACTCTTATATTGATCCTGTAATAGTTTTGATTTTAAAATATAGGTGCACTTTATATTACACATTTTGAGCTGTTACACCTCAAGAAAACTACAAAAAGAGAGCCTGTCATTTAACAAAAACAGTTTCCCCCCTGTTTTTTGGTCTCAACCATCTCCTGATAGATACATCTCTATTTTTTTTTAGAGATTTCACTGAACTGTTTAACAGTTCATCAGTCAGTCTTTTCATAACCTTGTTTCGTTATTTAATGCTGGGCAGGTGGAATAAAATATGTCACCTGCATCATTTTTCAATGGAAGCATTCTACAGAGCTTGAGAAGAAAATGTAAACTAAAAAAAGATCAGAATATCTGCAGAATTAATTGTTAACTCTTCAGTGGTAATTTTACTCTCTATTGTACTCCTTATTCCTAAAAGAAAAACTTTACTTCGGTGACTTCACCTTTGTGGATTGACACAGAAACATTTTCTCTGCAGGTTCAATATCACCATCAGAAAAAAAACACCACTGTAAGTCATTTCACTTTGAGTTTAAAAACAGTTGATGCAGGTAGAGACAAAAGCGAGGTAGAGATTATCTCCATGGGTTGCAGTGACAGGTGGGAACATATTGACTGTGGCTTAAAAGTGCATCTCTCCAGGAAGAATCATGCTCTTGAAGGGTTGAAGTGTGTTTTTCACAGGCGGACACGTTATCACCACAGGAGGGAAAGCCACCTTGTGGGAAGAAGCTTAATGCAAATGATCTAAATCTTTTGTCAGTGTTTTTACAGACAGATGCTGTCTGGAAGAGCTCCCTGTTCCTGACAATGTTTGTTTCATTCTATTTCTGTACACATGCTAAGCCTTTTGTTTAACAAACAACCCAATGTCTGGATTGTTAACCACAGATTTGTCAGTGCTGGTCCCTCAATGCCAGACTTCACTGTTGTTTTTTTAGGAACAGAGTTTTCTGCCCTTTGCCAATCACCTGACCTTCAACAGATAAACCGGCCACTTACCTTTTCCAAGACTGGGTGTTTTGCCATTGTTTTCAAGCCATTTCTGCCTCCCTGGCTTTTAACAGACCAATGTGAGAAAGTAGTGATTAATTCTGTGGGTTGAAAAGCAGCAGAGGTGATGAATCAGCTCATCAGTCTGTTGTCGTAGCTATTTCTTTTGAGCAGTTGTTGACGGTGGAGCCCTCTCTTTCCACAAGTTATGCACATGTAAAGGGTTAAAAGGGATACAGGATTTCTCAGTTCATGAATAATAGTTCACTGTTCAAGTAACATACACACCATATAAAAACATTTTTATTTGTACTCTA